CACACCACACCACACCCCCCTCCAACCCCACCCCAGCCAACCATTCCGCCCATCCTCAACTCTAGGCAGCTTGCCAAGCAGCCTGGGCCCTAGAGGCGCGTGGAGCAGCTCCTTCTGCTTGCGCGTGGTCGCCCTGCTCCACGGAAAGCGGCTGCAACGGAGCAGCTCGTGGTGATCAGCCTGCGGGCCTGTGGCGGCTCCTGGCGGCGCCCGCCGACGGTGCATGGGTGGTTCAGTGGTAGAATTCTCGCCTGCCACGCGGGAGGCCCGGGTTCGATTCCCGGCCCATGCAGCTCCTGCTCCCCTTTTGCTTGGGCAGCCCCAGCAGTGCCTCTGCGCAAGCCGCTCCCTCGGGCTCCTCTCTGGCCAGCCTTGCACCAGCACTCTTGGCACACGCGCTCCCCAGCCCCCCTGGCCGCCGAACCCCGCCTAGCCCAGCGCCAGTGCCTCAGCTCTCGCACCCCTGCCTCCTTCTGCCTCTCCTGATACCCACTTCGGGCCCACGCGCTGCACTTCCGACCTCGCCGCTCTGCCGGCCGGCCACTGAGCCGCCAAGCCCCGCCGCTTCGTCTCCCCACACCCTGCTCTCACAACCAACCATCGCCAACGCGCGGCTGGCCCTAGCACCCTTCCACGACTCCTCCCGCCTTCCGGCTGCTGGACAGATGCCGGCCCCCGTTGGGGGCTCACGCCCTGGCCCTAGGCTGCTTGGGATGCCAGCCTCCAGAACGGACACCCGACTCCAGCCCTGCCACGCGCCCCACACACCGCCCCCAGTGCCCAGGGCCGGGCCCCTCCCAACCCACTGCACGGGAGGCTCCACGCCTGAGACGCTGCCCTCTGAGTCCCGTCGACCTGTCGCCCCCGAGACCTGCCCTAAGCGGCTGGGCAGCTCCGCCCTTGCCCTGGAGGTCCTGTGTGGGCACAAGGAGCCGGAGCCGCTACTTGACGAGGGCCGAGCCGGCACAGAGTAGGGCGGAGAACCGCATGCAGGGATCGAGGCGTCAATCGGGACGCAGAGAGCGCGAGCTCAGAGATGAGGCGGGGATTGGAACGTGCTACCAAATCCGTGGTGGCGTGGCCCGCGACGGGGACCGGGAGGGTCGGTTCCCTCCCGTGCGGAGAGAGCCCACGGTGAAACGCCAGCGTATGCCGCTCCCCTCTCCTCCACCTTGTCCCCACACACTGGCTGGCTGTCATCTCGGCTCTCGGGCTGTCCGCAAGCCCTCTCCCACCTCCTCCCGGAGGAGGAGGCTCCCTCACCGATGGCCAGCCGCCGGCATTGCCCAGGGCTCCAGCTTGCCGGCCCTCTCCAGCCTGCTGGTCTCGCATCTGCATCCTGCATCCTGCATCCTGCATCCTGCATCCTGGGGGGTGGAGGCGGGGAGGGGTGCCAAGTGCAGGGCCCCTCTGGGACAGCTCCCACGTGTTCAAGCCCCGAGCCCACCTGGGAGCCTGGATCGGCTCACGGTGGGAAAACCAAAGCAACTGCACCCTGGGCTGCTTGGTGACTCTCAGACCCACGGAGGCCATGGCACGCGGCACCTGGCACCTGGCCCAGAAGGCGTGCCCTCTGTGTCTCTGTGTGTGTGTGTCTGTGTGTGTGAGTGTGTGTGTGTGCGCGCGCACGCAGAAGCACACGCGTTCCTGTGCGTGGTGCCGGCGGCGGTGATGTCGTGAGTGAGGACGTGAGGCCGAGTGCGTGCAGGCACCGGTCCCTGTGTGTGGAGTGGGGTGCGGCTGTTCCGGAATTGTGGCATCCTGGGTGTGCGGGTGGATGTGTGTTGGTGCGCGCGTGCCCACGTCTGGGTTGGGGGTGTTCCGGCTGCCCAGGAGTGTCGCAGAACGGCTGGCAGGGGAGGCGCGGGAGCAGGGGGACAGCGAGCAGCCTGGAGGTGGGGAGCGGCCAAAGGTCCTGAGGTGGCGCAGCTGGCGAAAAGGACAGCAGCTGAGGGCGGCCGCGGAGGCAGAGGCACAGAGCTTGGGCCAGGGCCGGGGCTGGGGCGCAGTGTGCGTTGCCCCATTGCACAAGCAGTTGGCTGCGTGGTTGTGCAAAAGTGGGCGGGCTGTACTGCGGGAGGCAGAGCACACACGCCGGCCCTCCGAGGAAGAAGAAAGGCTTCCCTGACCGGGAATCGAACCCGGGCCGCGGCGGTGAGAGCGCCGAATCCTAACCACTAGACCACCAGGGAGCGTCGGGCTGCGCGTCTGGCCTGGGCCTCTGCCTGCTGCAGCCGGCGCCTGGGTGCCAATGGGCAGCAGCAGCAGCAGCAGCAGCAGCAGCAGCAGCGCCTGGCCTGCCGCGCTACTTCCACGGCCAACCCCCGGCTGTCCTGCCCGGGCCAGCCGACGGGCCCCCGCCCGCCATCCGCCCTGACCTCAAAAACACACGGCGCGCCTCCGTCTCCTGGCCCCGCGCACGCCCTGCCCCGCCGCGCTCAGCCGAGTCCGCCCCACCTGGGCGGCCGGGCGCGCGCCACGACCACCGCCTCTGCCAAAAGGTGGGCGCGCTGCGTTGGCCGGGAATCGAACCCGGGTCAACTGCTTGGAAGGCAGCTATGCTCACCACTATACCACCAACGCCTCCCGCCGAGGCCGGCCTGGCCACGCGCCGCCCGGCTTGCCCGGAGCGCCCCGCCGCCCCCGTGCCCCGACGGCGCGCCTCGCCCGCACTTCCCCGCTGCCACCCCAAGGCCGCCCGGCGCCCCGCCGGCCAAGCCCAGCACGCCTGCCCGATCCACGCGCGCGCCCTCGCGCATCCACACGCACGCCAGCCGCTTCTCCGTCTGCGCACGCGCCCGCCTCCGCCCAGCGCCTCCCGGTCTCCTTACTCCTGGGAACCGGCCTCCGGATCCAGCGGAGCCCCGGCGGCGCGCGCGTCCGTATCCGTATCCGTCTCCGCGTCCGCCCTCAGCTGGCTCGTCCAAGCCCTCGTGCACCAGAGGTCCGACGGCCAGGCGACCGACCGCACCCGCAGGCTCGCTCCCCGGCTCGTCCGCGCCCCCTCACCCAGCGCACCTAGCGCACCTAGCGCACCTAGCGCACCAAGCGCACCAAGCGCACCAAGCCCTGTCGGTCGGTGGCGACCGACCGTGGGCGAGCGAAAACTCCTCGCGCGCGCCGCGCCCTGTGCGCCCAACACGGGTGCGTGTCCGGGGCCCGCAGGCCACACGGTCCCTGGTGCTCCGCGTGCGGGGGCCGGCGTGCGGGGCCTGGCCAAAAAGGGCGGCTTGCCTCCCCGTCGGGGAATCGACAAAAAGAGCGGCTTGCCTCCCCGTCGGGAATCGAACCCCGGTCCCCGGTCTCCCGCGTGACAGGCACCCTCGGGTCCCCTCGACTAACGAGGACGGCGGCGGCCACCCTCGGGTCCCCTCGACCCCTCTGCGCCCGCCCGCCCACACCCGACCCCTGCCCTCCACCGCCCACACACCGGCTCCAGGGCCAACCGCCACCCGTCCCCAGTCCCCAGTCCCCGGTCCCCGCAACCTAGTGCCTTCGCCCCACGTGGACTCCCCGGCCCGGGACCACAACATGCTAGCTTCCAGGAGCATAGAGCCAACCAACCGGAGGACCCAGGGGAAGCCAGGGAGGAGGATGAAGATGAGGAAGAGGAAGAGCAGCAGCAGCAGCAGCAGCAGCAAGAGGAGAGGGGAGAAGAGCCAGCGGAGGGGCACAGCGAGGAAGAGGAGGAAGAGCACCCCCAGGAAAACCCAGAGGGAGAGGAGGAGGAGGAGGAGGAAGACCACGACGACCCGCTGGGCGGGGCACAACGGGGGCAGGGGGTAGCGCTGCGAACTGGAAGGAGCGGGCGGCCCGTCTGGGATGCGTCCCGGGGTGCTGCCGGGTGCCCCGTGCGGCCTCCAGAACCGGGCAGCGGCGCCCTGCAAGCCCCGGGAACCGCGCGGAGCTGCCCCGGGAACCGCGCGCCCCGCGCGCCCCGCGCGCCCCGCGCGCCCGGCGGCCTGCGCCCTGGCCCCGCAGCCCAGGGCCCAGGCGGCGCGACGGACCAAGGCCGCAGTCCCTGGCGCGCTCCCCCAGCCAAGGGAACGGCCGCGCCACCCGGCCCGCCGTCAGGATGGCCGAGCGGTCTAAGGCGCTGCGTTCAGGTCGCAGTCTCCCCTGGAGGCGTGGGTTCGAATCCCACTCCTGACAAGCACGCCTTTTTGGCACGCCCGGGCCAGCCTCGCGCCCGTCGTGCAACACGCCGCTCGCCGCTCCGCCTCTCCAGCCGTCGCGAGCGAGACCCCGCCTTGCCGGCCCACACGTGGCACTCGCCACAGGGACCACGCTCCAACTGGCCAGCGCGCAGGCACTCCCGCCCACCTCTCCCCACCACACCGCTTCTCGGGACCCACCTGCCTCCGAGTCTTCCTGGCTCCTCCGCTCCTCTGCCGCCACCCTCTGCCGCTACCTTCCGCACATTCACGGCCCTCCGCCTCCCAGCCCCAGTCCCCAGATCTCCTCCACCTCTCCCCGCCTCCTGCCAGCCCCAGAGCGCTGAACCGACGGGCGGCCCGCCCAGAGTCCTCCCGAGCGTCCCCTAAACACCTGTCTGCAGCCAGCCCACCGAGAGCAGCGCACTTCGGCCGCGTCCCACCTCCTCGCCCTCGCTGCGCACTCCCGCCTCCCGCCTCCCGCCTCCCGCCTGCCAGCCTGTCTGCCTGCTCGGGACAGCGCGCTGCCCGGGATCCTGGGATCCTGCTCCTCGGAGCCCTTGGCTGACCCCTCTCTCGGCCTCAGCACAGCTGCCTCAGGAGGCACAGAGGCCACGAGTCGGGAAAAGTGGCCGGGGCAGTGGCAGGCGCCCTGCGGTCACCCAGCTGCACACGTTGGCTCTCCTCCACGACCCACCGCCTCCCCAGGGGCGGGGCGGGGGGCTCCATGGGCAGGCGCGCCCCACCCAGCGTGGCGGCCGGCCACACACCCGCCTTCAGCCGGTGCTCCTGTTGCAGCCGTGGCTCACACCCGAGCCCACCACCACGGGGACCGCCCCGAGTCACCTGCTCTGACGGGGACCTGGGCAGAGGGCCGGGTCTGGCCGGCTGCATCCTGGCTCTCTCTGGGCTCCAGCGCCCCTCCTTCCCCGTGCCCTGGGATGCAGACAACAACCCAGCAGGAGCTGAAGCTCTGTGCTTCTCTCTCTTTCTCTGTCTGCCTGCCTCTTGCTCTCTAGCTCGCTCGCTCTCTCTCTCTCTCTCTCTCTGTCTCGTGTGTGTGTGTGTGTGTGAGTGTGTGTGTGTCCCTCCCAAACCCCACCCACCCATCCATCCAAGGCCAACCACCACCACACCACACCACACCACACCCCCTCCAACCCCACCCCAGCCAACCATTCCGCCCATCCTCAACTCTAGGCAGCTTGCCAAGCAGCCTGGGCCCTAGAGGCGCGTGGAGCAGCTCCTTCTGCTTGCGCGTGGTCGCCCTGCTCCACGGAAAGCGGCTGCAACGGAGCAGCTCGTGGTGATCAGCCTGCGGGCCTGTGGCGGCTCCTGGCGGCGCCCGCCGACGGTGCATGGGTGGTTCAGTGGTAGAATTCTCGCCTGCCACGCGGGAGGCCCGGGTTCGATTCCCGGCCCATGCAGCTCCTGCTCCCCTTTTGCTTGGGCAGCCCCAGCAGTGCCTCTGCGCAAGCCGCTCCCTCGGGCTCCTCTCTGGCCAGCCTTGCACCAGCACTCTTGGCACACGCGCTCCCCAGCCCCCCTGCCCCCCTGGCCGCCGAACCCCGCCTAGCCCAGTGCCTCAGCCCTCGCACCCCTGCCTCCTTCCTAGCCTCTGCCTCTCCTGATACCCACTTCGGGCCCACGCGCTGCACTTCCGACCTCGCCGCTCTGCCGGCCGGCCACTGAGCCGCCAAGCCCCGCCGCTTCGTCTCCCCACACCCTGCTCTCACAACCAACCATCGCCAACGCGCGGCTGGCCCTAGCACCCTTCCACGACTCCTCCCGCCTTCCGGCTGCTGGACTGATGCCGGCCCCCGTTGGGGGCTCACGCCCTGGCCCTAGGCTGCTTGGGATGCCAGCCTCCAGAACGGACACCCGACTCCAGCCCTGCCACGCGCCCCACACACCGCCCCCAGTGCCCAGGGCCGGGCCCCTCCCAACCCACTGCACGGGAGGCTCCACGCCTGAGACGCTGCCCTCTGAGTCCCGTCGACCTGTCGCCCCCGAGACCTGCCCTAAGCGGCTGGGCAGCTCCGCCCTTGCCCTGGAGGTCCTGTGTGGGCACAAGGAGCCGGAGCCGCTACTTGACGAGGGCCGAGCCGGCACAGAGTAGGGCGGAGAACCGCATGCAGGGATCGAGGCGTCAATCGGGACGCAGAGAGCGCGAGCTCAGAGATGAGGCGGGGATTGGAACGTGCTACCAAATCCGTGGTGGCGTGGCCCGCGACGGGGACCGGGAGGGTCGGTTCCCTCCCGTGCGGAGAGAGCCCACGGTGAAACGCCAGCGTATGCCGCTCCCCTCTCCTCCACCTTGTCCCCACACACTGGCTGGCTGTCATCTCGGCTCTCGGGCTGTCCGCAAGCCCTCTCCCACCTCCTCCCGGAGGAGGAGGCTCCCTCACCTATGGCCAGCCGCCGGCATTGCCCAGGGCTCCAGCTTGCCGGCCCTCTCCAGCCTGCTGGTCTCGCATCTGCATCCTGCATCCTGCATCCTGCATCCTGGGGGGTGGAGGCGGGGAGGGGTGCCAAGTGCAGGGCCCCTCTGGGACAGCTCCCACGTGTTCAAGCCCCGAGCCCACCTGGGAGCCTGGATCGGCTCACGGTGGGAAAACCAAAGCAACTGCACCCTGGGCTGCTTGGTGACTCTCAGACCCACGGAGGCCATGGCACGCGGCACCTGGCACCTGGCCCAACGGGCAGGGAGAGAAGGCGTGCCCTCTGTGTCTCTGTGTGTGTGTGTCTGTGTGTGTGAGTGTGTGTGCGCGCGCGCACACGCAGAAGCACACGCGTTCCTGTGCGTGGTGCCGGCGGCGGTGATGTCGTGAGTGAGGACGTGAGGCCGAGTGCGTGCAGGCACCGGTCCCTGTGTGTGGAGTGGGGTGCGGCTGTTCCGGAATTGTGGCATCCTGGGTGTGCGGGTGGCTGTGTGTTGGTGCGCGCGTGCCCACGTCTGGGTTGGGGGTGTTCCGGCTGCCCAGGAGTGTCGCAGAAAGGCTGGCAGGGGAGGCGCGGGAGCAGGGGGACAGCGAGCAGCCTGGAGGTGGGGAGCGGCCGAAGGTCCTGAGGTGGCGCAGCTGGCGAAAAGGACAGCAGCTGAGGGCGGCCGCGGAGGCAGAGGCACAGAGCTTGGGCCGGGGCCGGGGCTGGGGCGCAGTGTGCGTTGCCCCATTGCACAAGCAGTTGGCTGCGTGGTTGTGCAAAAGTGGGCGGGCTGTACTGCGGGAGGCAGAGCACACACGCCGGCCCTCCGAGGAAGAAGAAAGGCTTCCCTGACCGGGAATCGAACCCGGGCCGCGGCGGTGAGAGCGCCGAATCCTAACCACTAGACCACCAGGGAGCGTCGGGCTGCGCGTCTGGCCTGGGCCTCTGCCTGCTGCAGCAGGCGCCTGGGTGCCAATGGGCGGCAGCAGCGGCAACAGCAGCAGCAGCAGCAGCAGCAGCAGCGCCTGGCCTGCCGCGCTACTTCCACGGCCAACCCCCGGCTGTCCTGCCCGGGCCGGCCGACGGGCCCCCGCCCGCCATCCGCCCTGACCTCAAAAAAACACACGGCGCGCCTCCGTCTCCTGGCCCCCGCGCACGCCCTGCCCCGCCGCGCTCAGCCGAGTCCGCCCCACCTGGGCGGCCGGGCGCGCGCCACGACCACCGCCTCTGCCAAAAGGTGGGCGCGCTGCGTTGGCCGGGAATCGAACCCGGGTCAACTGCTTGGAAGGCAGCTATGCTCACCACTATACCACCAACGCCTCCCGCCGAGGCCGGCCTGGCCACGCGCCGCCCGGCTTGCCCGGAGCGCCCCGCCGCCCCCGTGCCCCGACGGCGCGCCTCGCCCGCACTTCCCCGCTGCCACCCCAAGGCCGCCCGGCGCCCCGCCGGCCAAGCCCAGCACGCCTGCCCGATCCACGCGCGCGCCCTCGCGCATCCACACGCACGCCAGCCGCTTCTCCGTCTGCGCACGCGCCCGCCTCCGCCCAGCGCCTCCCGGTCTCCTTACTCCTGGGAACCGGCCTCCGGATCCAGCGGAGCCCCGGCGGCGCGCGCGTCCGTATCCGTATCCGTCTCCGCGTCCGCCCTCAGCTGGCTCGTCCAAGCCCTCGTGCACCAGAGGTCCGACGGCCAGGCGACCGACCGCACCCGCAGGCTCGCTCCCCGGCTCGTCCGCGCCCCCTCACCCAGCGCACCTAGCGCACCTAGCGCACCAAGCGCACCAAGCGCACCAAGCGCACCAAGCCCTGTCGGTCGGTGGCGACCGACCGTGGGCGAGCGAAAACTCCTCGCGCGCGCCGCGCCCTGTGCGCCCAACACGGGTGCGTGTCCGGGGCCCGCAGGCCACACGGTCCCTGGTGCTCCGCGTGCGGGGGCCGGCGTGCGGGGCCTGGCCAAAAAGGGCGGCTTGCCTCCCCGTCGGGGAATCGAACCCCGGTCTCCCGCGTGACAGGCGGGGATACTCACCACTATACTAACGAGGACGGCGGCGGCCACCCTCGGGTCCCCTCGACCCCTCTGCGCCCGCCCGCCCGCCCGCACCCGACCCCTGCCCTCCACCGCCCACACACCGGCTCCAGGGCCAACCGCCACCCGTCCCCAGTCCCCAGTCCCCGGTCCCCGCAACCTAGTGCCTTCGCCCCACGTGGACTCCCCGGCCCGGGACCACAACATGCTAGCTTCCAGGAGCATAGAGCCAACCAACCGGAGGACCCAGGGGAAGCCAGGGAGGAGGATGAAGATGAGGAAGAGCAGCAGCAGCAGCAGCAAGAGGAGAGGGGAGAAGAGCAGCAAGAGGAGAGGGGAGAAGAGCCAGCGGAGGGGCACAGCGAGGAAGAGGAGGAAGAGCACCACCAGGAAAACCCAGAGGGAGAGGAGGAGGAGGAGGAAGACCACGACGACCCGGTGGGCGGGGCACAACGGGGGCGGGGGGTAGCGCTGCGAACTGGAAGGAGCGGGCGGCCCGTCTGGGATGCGTCCCGGGGGGTGCTGCCGGGTGCCCCGTGCGGCCTCCAGAACCGGGCAGCGGCGCCCTGCAAGCCCCGGGAACCGCGCGGAGCTGCCCCGGGAACCGCGCGCCCCGCGCGCCCCGCGCGCCCGGTGGAGCCCGGAGGCGTGCGCCCTCGCAGCCCAGGGCCCAGGCGGCGCAGGCGGCGCGACGGACCCAAGGCCGCAGTCCCTGGCGCGCTCCCCCAGCCAAAGGGAACGGGCCGCGCCACCCGGCCCGCAGTCAGGATGGCCGAGCGGTCTAAGGCGCTGCGTTCAGGTCGCAGTCTCCCCTGGAGGCGTGGGTTCGAGTCCCACTCCTGACAAACACGCCTTTTTGGCACGCCCGGGCCAGCCTCGCGCCCGTCGTGCAACACGCCGCTCGCCGCTCCGCCTCTCCAGCCGTCGCGAGCGAGACCCCGCCTTGCCGGCCCACACGTGGGACTCGCCACAGGGACCCCGCTCCAACTGGCCAGCGCGCAGGCACTCCCGCCCACCTCTCCCCACCACACCGCTTCTCGGGACCCACCTGCCTCCGAGTCTTCCTGGCTCCTCCGCTCCTCTGCCGCCACCCTCTGCCGCTACCTTCCGCACATTCACGGCCCTCCGCCTCCCAGCCCCAGTCCCCAGATCTCCTCCACCTCTCCCCGCCTCCTGCCAGCCCCAGAGCGCTGAACCGACGGGCGGCCCGCCCAGAGTCCTCCCGAGCGTCCCCTAAACACCTGTCTGCAGCCAGCCCACCGAGAGCAGCGCACTTCGGCCGCGTCCCACCTCCTCGCCCTCGCTGCGCACTCCCGCCTCCCGCCTCCCGCCTCCCGCCTCCCGCCTGCCAGCCTGTCTGCCTGCTCGGGACAGCGCGCTGCCCGGGATCCTGCTCCTCGGAGCCCTTGGCTGACCCCGTGCTCCCGCCTCTCTCGGCCTCAGCACAGCTGCCGCAGGAGGCACAGAGGCCACGAGTCGGGAAAACCACCCGGGGCAGTGGTTGGTGGCCGGCCAAAGGCCCAGGCGCCCTGCGGTCACCCAGC